CAGGGGATGGGGGATGGGGGATGCTTTCTTTCTTTTTGAACTCATACCTGCTTCTACCTTTCTTTTTTTTTCTTCATTTTCTCACCATTGTAGTTGGTTAAAGGTGACAATCTCAAGTTTCTGCAGTCTCTGCTGACATGGCTCATGGGGTTCACCCAAATTTTATGGATAAATATGAAGAACATCATAGGCCAGAGTTACAAAAGGGGCTTGTCATCAAGCACAATGCAAACCAGCGGTATGCCACAAGTGGTGTGACAGCTTTTCTTTTCAAAGAAATAGCAAACATTCATAATATTCCAGTTCAGGTAATTGTATGTGGGATTATGAAATTTTTGGCAACTTTTTTTTCTCTGCTCTTTTTTTCTTTTCTATCATTTTGTTTTTCCCTTTTTTTTGGTGAGACCTGGAATTTTAATAGTATATTCATAAATATACTTTTTCTTTTGTCATCTCATATATTATTTCATCAATGTCTTCATTTATGCTGGCATGAAATTGTGATAAACACATGTTTATACCCCTAGATAGATAAACAGCATGTTTGTGCAGGTTGATCATTTTTACCATAGTTGTTGGAACTTGTTGATAAGAAGATTGTTCTTAAATTTGTTGAAGGCTTGTGAGAATCCTTTTGAGATATCAAAATGAACTCAATTCCTTTAGACGTTGAGTTGGTCTTTATGGGAGAGTTGTATGAAGTGAAGATTATGATAGAAGGGGAGGAACTAGTTGTTGAATCATTTGCCAAAATGGTTATAAAGAAACYAAACAGGGGAGTTGTGGGGGGGGGGGTAGAAGACAATCCAATGGCAGCCTGGCAGGTGAGAGAATTAAATTTAGCATTTCACATTTGAGGGATAGGCACATGGAATATGAAATGCTACCAAATGAAATTAAAAGGGCTGGTAGGGGTGGGATAAGCCTCTTAATGTTTTTGATTGATTTTTAAAGAATATTCCAAGGTGGGTCTTTTAAAATGAAGAGAGGGTGGGGTCTTGGAATTAGTAACATCTCTCGGGAGTGTAATGGGTACAACAATAAGCGGTATATGGTGGATTATGTTGATTGTAGAGTTAAATTTTGGGGGGTTATGATTTAGGAGAGGGAAGAGTGTAATTATTTGGTCTGTTTGAGTGGGTAGGTTTGCAACTTTAATCATTTAAGTTGGTGAAATTTATGAGTCAATTAACTGATAAAAATTATGAATCCATTAAATAGAAGTCTCATTGGGCCTGAACTATATTGTGTTCTCACCTGAGGCTGGTTGACAGACTGGGACATCCATTTAAAGGGGAAGTTGGACAAATCTGGGCATATTGGTAACTCTTTTCTTGATTATTGATGGTGGGTTCTTACCTACATAACCAGGCTCTTTCCTCTTCTCCATTGAAGAAAGGAGGTTAGGAATGAAGGACAGTTGAGTGAGACCCTTTCATTGCCGACCAATTCTGATATGGTAATGGAAGTGGATAAGGCATGTGAGATCCCTTTAGCTTTAACTGACATTAAGAGAGTGCGATGTTGCAGTGGGTTTTGGATGGAGGAATCAGTGGGTTTTGGGTTAAAAAGATAGGGAGGTAGGAATTGAGTATGTTTCTATTAGAGGGGAGGAGGTAGTTGAGACTTCTTTCGATGGAGGAATCATTGGGTTTTGGAAAAGAAAGGAGTCCCAAGGTATGTGGACCTAATTAAGGATATGTATGGGGGTGCAAAACTAATGCTAGAACACCTATGGGAGAGACGTCAAATGTTATGGTTACAGTGGGTCTTCACCAAGGTTCAGCACTTAGTACCAATTATTATTATTATTATTATTGTTATTATTATTGTTATTGTTATTGTTATTGTTATTGTTATTGTTATTGTTATTGTTATTGTTATTGTTATTGTTATTATTATTATTATCATTATTATTATTATTATTATTGGGGCATATTGGCCTATATCATTGGGTGCTTTTATGTTTTTTTTATTTTTTTTTTCAAACCGGTTTAGGGGGTTGGTTTAAGGCCCATCTATCAGACCCCGAAACACCTACGTTGTGAAATTTTAATCCTTGAATAGGAGTGCAAACCACACTTAGGATTGGAGACCAAGAGAAATCAATGTTACCTCTTCTATTGCCTTGGTTCAATTATTCATAACAAAGGAGTTATTGAGGAGGATGTGGCCTATGGGCTATAGAATTGGAGTAGGGTGGGCAAAATGAAGGGGTGCATCCAGAGTCTTTTGTGAGAGGTGAATACCACTTCAGTTAAAAGGAAAGTTCTATAAAATAGTTGTAAGCCCAGCTATGTTTTATGGAGCAGAGTGTTGGACGGTTAAGAAACAGCATGTCCAAATAATAAGTGTGGTAGAAATGTGAATGCTTGGATGAGTGGTAAAGCTAGGAAGGACATGGTTAGATTAGAAATGAAGTCATGCAAAGGAACCTAAGGGTAGCTCCAAGAGATGATGAGAGAAAATAGATTGAGATGGTTTGGCCACATGCATATAAGACCATCTACAACACTCGTTAGAAAAAAGTGRTTTGTTACAAGTTGAAGGGGCTAGAAGAGCTAGGGGCAGACCAAAAAGGACTTGGTGGAAGTAATGAGAAATGATTTAAGTGTCCATAATTTAACCATGGATATGGCATTGAACACAATGGAATGGAAAAATAGGATTCATGTAGCCAACTTCATATAGCTGGGTCAAGGCTTGGATGATGATGATTGAAATAGGATGAGCATGGGGGGGTGTTTTTTATTCAGAAAGGACGACATGTAAAGAGTTCAAAGAAAGAGAGAAAAGTAGTTGAGAGGGAATCATAGAAGGTCATCTATAAGTAAAGGTAAGTGTATAGGAGAGGCAAGGATATTTCTTGTCATGGAGTGTAGACTCGAGAAGATTAGTAATGGAGAACAAGGGGTGGAGTTATAGGGGAGTAGGTTTGATGTGGGGGAATCTTCATTCTCACGAGATTCTCTTCATGGAACATGAAAGGTTAAGAGTCCACAAATGGAGCAAAATTGGTGGTATCATGGCAAGAAGAATGGGGAGAGATTAGGGGTGATCATGGACCCGACTGGGCTTCTGTGCCTATAATTTTAAATATTATAGAAACTTCATATATATGGCATGTTATATATGTATACATATATCTTAATGTGATATAAAATATTATATATTGCAGGCTGGGCCAGGCTAGAATGTCACCCCCAGGTGGGATTTTGTTAATGGTTGTTGAGTTGGTGGTTTTGGTTGTTAAGATGTGGTTATGGGTCTTGGTCTCAGAGTGTCCATGTCTATTTCTGTTAGTAGTGGTCCTTATTTGCTGGATCAAAACTGTATTGTGTCTTTATTGCTTGTAATTTTTGAATTTTTCTTTTGGGGTTGATCATGGTGGGGGATACTGCTGTTGTCAGCAGCGGTTGCAGTGCTTGTTGCTCTTCTTTTCCTTTGTGGGTGATTCCTTATCACCTTTTTTTATACTCCTTTTTCTTTGAATGAATTTCATCTTTTCTATGAAAAAATTGTTTATGCTCTTTTACAAGTCGAATTATTATTTGTTTTACTGATAACAATAAATGAATTAAAAAGAAAATAAATTGGATAGAATTTGGAAACTCTCCTGGTAGTCTTCCCAAAGCTTAAGGCTGTGATTCTCATCTTTTTGGTTGAGGGAAGCTCTCCCCCCTTTAATATAAAATCTCATTTACCTCTCAAAAATAAAATGAAATAAAATGAAGTTAAGGCTGTTGTGATTGAGCAACTGCTCATATGTGGAACTCAATTCCTTACCTACTCCAATTCATAGAATTGTTACCTTCACCATAGAAATTGTGAATTTTGCAAAAAATGGACTTGGTGTGCATAAAGTTTCTTTCTTCTGAAGACAGCCTAATTTTATTTGTCAGAGAGAACATTGTATCTTCAGGTTAGGAAGGGTGGGTATGTGGAAAAGATGTAGCTAATCGCTTTCCACAGGTTAACCAGTAGATCTGCTGTCTTAGGATGTATGTCATATTTGCTTTTGACCACGGAATATTTGCTTTTGACTACTTAGTTCCATGAAGTTTTTACTCTACCACCTCATTGTTCAGTTGTTTGAAAAGTTAGTTTTCCAAATTAGTGGTAATTCCTCTCTTTTACAGAGAACCATTATCATTTATCATCTTCATCATCATCATCATCCAGACAGATCTTAAGCTTTGATCTATTTTAATTGACATGTTTGTCTTTTAACACATTATTTGTTGGGTGTTCAGGAACTGTTTTCTTTCATTTTTTTTGTTTTTATTTAGTTATTAATTCATTTTAAAGTTGGGGTGTTTTCTTTTCCCATGGGTAACATAGTTCAGTGGGGCTTGATTCTTTGATATTAGAGGTGTAAAACGGGTTGACATGATCCGCAGGCGGCCTGCACAAAGTGTGGGTCATGCCATGCTGGCCCACGGTCGTCCCAGGCCGTGCTGCYCTCCCCTGGGATAACTTGGGGGGTCGGCCCACAGCCCAAGCCTGCACGGGTCCATGCCATTCCGTGCCGTGGGCCGGGCTGGTCCATGAGCCAAGCCTTGGGCTAGGCTGGGCCGTCAACTGGGCCAAAGCTATTTATTTAAAAAATTGAAAAAATAAACTTAAAATTTTAATTTTATATGAATTTTGATGGATGCAATTACTTATATATACAATAATTAAATAAATTAGTATAATAAAATTGAAAACAATTGCTTATTTTATTAATATATTATTAATTATAATTTATATAATATATTATATATTATATATATATAAATAATATATATGGGCCGTGCCGGCACGCGGGCCATGGGCAGCACGACCCGCTCGGTCGTGCCATGTCGGCCCGGCCCACGGACCTAAAACCCCAGGCCCAACACGGCCCACATGATCGTACCGGACCTGGCACGACCCATGGACTGTTGTGACGGGCCAGTCCATATTCGTGCCGGGCCACGGGCGGCACGGCCCGATTTACACCTCTATGTGATATTATGGGTCATTCTTGGCCCTTAAAATATGGCGTTGTACAGAAATGGTTGAGTACCACTAGTTCCTGTCTAGCCACTGGTTCTTGGTCTGAGCTTGGTCCCATCTTGTTAACTCGTTGATGGGTTTGTCAGGTTTTCACTCAGGCTCACCTCATTTCAGACCAAGCCCATTTGCGTACCTGGGACCATGGATAGTTTCTGTTCAAAATATTCATTTCGGGCCGAGCTAAAAAAGTAAAAACAAACTTCATTTTGCGGTGGCAGAAATGCTTGGACTTGTAATAATTTGCTAACCTGTTCATTTCTATGTAGGAATTCGTAGTAAGGAACGATATGGGATGCGGATCCACAATTGGCCCCATACTTGCTTCAGGTGTTGGAATCCGTACCGTAGATTGTGGCATTGCTCAGCTTTCCATGCACAGGTACCCTTTTGTCTTACCTTTGGAAGATTATCTTTATTCATTTTCCACCGGAAGTCTAAGGTCCAAGTTCTAAGTCTTAAGTAAACAGCTTCCCTTTACATGTGGGGCAGTTTCACAGGTAATCCATGATTTAGCCGTCCAATCTATTTCATTTTTTCCTATTGGTTAGGAGGGATAAAGTTAATTGACAGCTGTCTGGGGATGGGATGGTTACAGTAATAAAGTTGGGTTGATATTAACTGTTTAAGAACTCCTTTATGGGGCTTTTTATACAGTAGTTGTATGACAAGTTCTAAGCCATTTATAGACCAAATGGATTTCATGCCACAGGCCCACAGTTCATCCCGCGTGCAATCATTGAACATTTGTTTTCCCTGTTAATGGTTTACGCGTTTGAACAACAATTTTTTATCCATAGTGACAAGAAATTAGACCACAATTAACAAGTGTTTGATGGGTGAGGTCTGCTCTACGTTCTCTATACATTTACGTGGAGGTGAAACAAATGTGCATTGATGAATCATCCTTCCACGGTGAAGTTACTCGTTTAACAGTCAATAATACCCTTAGAAGATCTTTCTGGGTTTAAACTTGCTGCCAGCAACCCAAGTAGTAAATGGGTTTTCTAGAACAATGTTTGACTCTTGCTAAATTCTTCTTTGCCCTTCAAAGAATTAATCAGTTAGGACTTAACAGGCCTATATTACCAGGCCTTAATAACTTGTACACCGTGGAGTGGGTGTTGCTTCTGTCGATTTTCGCCCACTCCCAACCATGAGCAACCCTATTTGAACCCTAGGGACAAATTGGTCATTTAATAAAAGATTGAAGAGAGCTTGTTGGAGTACTTTTACATATTGTCCGGGGCATTTGGTCATCAGACGCTGTACCTGAACCTTTCTTCCTTTTGCTTTGACCTGTGGAGCCCTTAGGCTGGAACCGCAGAGGAAGATTTTGTTAATTATATATTAGATTGAAGTGACGTTGGTATAGAGATTTTGATGATGGTCAACCAGTATGACAGACAGCTGAGTTTGAGACCATGTCATATCCTGGTCTCCCATGTGGTGATGAGTGTTTCTCTGCTTTTCAAACTTCCTGAACCCCCCCATTGACTTCTACGAATCCATGACGTTACCTCTGATAAATCCTCCCATCAGGCCATCACTCCCTTCCTGGACATGATCTCCATGAAAAGCTTCTTTTCTTTCATTAGATCCCATGCTTTAAGAAAATAAAAAGCAATGGAAGAACAAATTGTGACCGCATGGCAGGAACAGTTGATGGGGCTCAGACCACTGTAGCGAGTTTTGCCCTCTTCAACCGTTTATTTGATGGACCAATCGTGGACCATGTATTATAAATATCTGCTCATAGATGCCAAATTAATGGTTTGGATTTTTTATGAAGGGAACGATGAAATTGGACCTACATGCTGTGGCGTCATCATTATAATTGTTTTTTATCAATTCGAAAATTGGACTGTTTAGATATTGAATTTGATTGCACTTGTCTTAATTGCAGCGTGAGGGAGATATGTGGAAAAGAAGACGTTGATATTGCTTACAAGCATTTCAAGGCATTCTACAAGACATTCTCAGGCATTGACAGGAAGCTAAATGTGGATTAGTGTAAGCTTTTTCATGTTAATCAGGTTTCTGATTCTTAGTTTATAATTTTTTAAAACATAAAAAGTGAGAAAGAAAAGAAAATGTGAGAATCAGAAGCTCCAACTTTTTAAGACTATAAAATGATTATATTCCTTTTGCCTCCCTGGTACATCTTAAATAGTTCTGCACTTCATCATCTCAACACCAGAAAAAGATATAATAAGATGGAGACATGGGTAGGTAACAAAGTACTCTGGTGGAACAAAAGATACTACTGTCCTATAACTGAAACTGGATTTACCATTCCTTTTGACTCCTATGGTTTAACACACAAAAAAAAGGGTGTAGTATCTATCAAACCATCAGGATTTGCTGGAACTAGGCGGATTTGGGGTGGAGGTGGAACTGAGGTTGAGGTCTGGGATAAGGTTCGTGTTGGGTTTGGGGTTTCCCTTGGCAAGCTTCTGCTTAAGCTCAGATAACAGAGCCTGATTCTCCTGGTTGAGAAGCTGAGCTTTCTTCCTTAGCCTCTCATTCTCTTGGATTATGTAGCAGTTCTGCAGGTACAGCTTTGAGTTCAGCCTTTCCATGACTATGAAAACTTGGAACTACCTGTAAACGAAAACAGTAAACAGAGAACATCGGAGTATTAGAATCTTTTTTGGCTTTCAAAAATTAATAAAGTATTAGAACATTTTTTATTATTAAAACGAAAAAAGCAACAGAGGGGTGAGAGAGAGTACTGCTACACTGGTTCTTGGGAAAATAAATTCATTTTACAAGAAAAAACGAAAACTGAAAATAAGATAAAAAAACTTCCATAAGAAAGTAAGAAACAACAGACTTGAACTTGATTTATGATACGCAACGCAAGGATGTAACCATAAAAAGAGAATTTTCTCAGCTTGTCCTTTGCCCCGGAAGATAATAAATCCAATTTAAACCAAAAACAATATCAGCTAAATAACTAAAATCTAATCTGAATGCTGCCAACTTCAAATAAGGGAAACCTAGCCCCATAACAGAATGGTCCAATCTCAATTTGGGGTGCAACTAAACATGCCTCCGTAAAAATAAGATACAGAAGAAAAGAATATCAGAAAGAACAATTGAAGTTTTGGCGGCCCAAAATAACTAACTAGGCCAAAGTTGGCAAGGTAAACGAACAGAGGAGTTGTTAAAAACAGAGAAATAGAAGAGAGGAGGTTAAAATCCTGGAGAATCCAAACATGCACTTAAAAGTTTCTCCCTTCACCGTGAAGTAAAGAATAAGTTTCGCAACAAAATAGTATGACGTTCAAAAGCCAAGCCTCTTTAGACATTTATAAATAATGTAATTCATGCCTCAGATAGAAAAGTTGGCTCTTCTGGGTTATAGACTAACGCAGAAAAAGGGAATCCATCTGGGTTGAAAATATTCCAAGCTCCCAAGATTGAAAAATATCTACTGGTTTTGAACGTGCATGTAAAGAAGTAGAGAAGCAAAACAACCCAAAAACAACAAATTCCAACGGCAGCAAGTACCCATCTCACCATACTCTTCTGTCCACCTTTACTAACTAAAATAAAGCAAGAACCTGAAGCAACAAAACAAGTAACCTCCGATACAAAAAGAAAGAAAAAGGGCATGAAAAGAGAGGAGACAAAGCAGAAGAGGAGAGAGAGAGAGAGAGAGGGAGATGTGGGGGCTTCTCTAGCTTTTCATAAAAGATCACCTTTTTGAGGTGGTTGTAAGAAGAAGGCTTCCTTGGTCGTGGAAGTTGCTGGAGTGGAGTGGAGTGTAGTAGTAGGAAAAGAGAATAAAAGGAAGCAAAAGAGAGAGAGAGGAGTATGAGTTTGAGTTGTGAGGGACGCAAAGAGGGAGTGATAATATATATAGAGTAGAGGGGAGTGGTGGAGGAGGGGACATGCCTCTTCTGCCACAACAATCATGCATGTGTAAGCACGGAAGGCGGCCGGTAGGGGCGAGGATTTAATGTTGTATGATGATGGCTGGCTGGCTGGGCTGGGCTGTGGCTGGTGAGATGGCCTGGCCGCTGGCTTTCTGTTCTGCCCCCTTCAGCCCTTCTTGTTCTTGCCTCTTTGCCTTGGCGTTGGCAAAGGGACGGGGGATGGATGGCGTCATGTGATGATGGTTATGTTCAGTAGGGGTATTCTCGTCATTCCACGGGGTATTCTTGTAAGGACTCATTTTTCTTTAGAGGGAGTGTTTTCCAAATGATGGTGGGCTCGGCCGTCCGAAGATTCGCAATGATGGTTGGATTGGCTCGAACCGACGGACTCCCATCATCACCTCCACCCCCCATCATCGATGCTCTTTTGTTTTTATTGTTATTATTATTATTAATCCCTTCCTCTCCTCTCTCCCTTATTTCTTTTTGGCTATTTTTAGCCCAATCTATCTTTCTTCCTTTTTTTTTCTTAATTCATCCTCATGTATCTTTAACGATTTTGCCCATATGGGTTTTCATGGTTTGAGGTATTAATTGGTCATTTGGTGGACACCCTTTTGTCTTAATCATCATTTTGATATTTTGCATCTTGATTTTCTGCTTTTAGTCTCATCCTCTGTTTTTTGATAAATATAATTATCTTTTCTAGTCTAACTTGACTGTAAGAAATGGACCATTTTGTCCACGAGGGTTTTGATAAACCAGGGGCAAAATTGGTCATTCGGGGGGGTGTGGGACTGGAGATGTTTTTAGGAAGAGTTTTGTAAGTTATAAYTAGCATTGTGAGTCTTGTTTAATTTGGAAAAAAGAAATTAAAAAAAAAAAATGGCGTCTTTTGGTAATGCCTGTAGCTTTCTATTTGATGGGCTACTAATGTGGCTAAATTGCTAATGCATGCGTATAAAAGCACTGTTTTGCCCCCCATACATAGTTTCCAAAGTTGCACCATCCATGAATGATGATTCTTTCTGTGTTTTCGTTTTACAATAATAACATTAGCAATAATTAATCCTTGTAACGAGTTGCATTTTTGCTTATTTTGGGTTATTGAAATTATTATTGTGCTAAGTTGGCATGCTTTCCAGTGGTTGTTATTGAAATCATGTCTGCTTAGTTAGTGTTCAATCAATTTTCTTTTGACGTTTTTTAATACTTGGGTCTTGGAGGGCCATAGGGGTAAAAAGGTCAATAAATTAAAGCCTCGTGAAGCTCGCTTTTTTTATTGGGGGCTTGGGGCTGGGGGGGCTTGAGCTCTTGATTCTGGGTAATTTGGTTTTGGCTTTTTGGGTTCATAGAATTAATTACAGTTCTCCCTCCATGCCACCAATTCCCAATTTTCTAACACAAGGAGAAATTTAAGGCGTTCATCATGAGATGGGGTTCTCACCTAATTGGATCTCCTGTGAATCAACAGGATAGGATGATTTTGACGTCTGTTCAAAATCAAACCTCAAACCCATCAATCAGCAGATCCTTCATAGGCGGGTTTTGTTAGCCCATAGTTTTACTCATCATCAATTTTAGTTGCAATCTCTCATTTGGCATTTACCCATTTGGGCTATGGCCCACCTAAGCAAAGCTACTTCTACAACATCCCAAGAAAGTGGATGATTGCCTGGGCAATCCTGACCAAATGGTTATAGTATTGGGGCCTATTGAGGCACAGTGGTCCAAATGTAGGATATAGCACTCCTTTATATGGAGCTATACACGTATATACGTAGAGCAGTACATACGTATACGGTGCATACGGTATTCAGTCAAAAAATGGAAAAAAATGAGGAGTGGTCTCACTGGTCAGCATGTAACGTGCACCATGCACCAGGGGTAAATGATGATAGTTCCAAACCGTGATATAAATTTAGGCTGAAACTAATCATGATGGCCAACCCTAATAATAGTCTCCTTCACTCATCCTCTCTGCGGTGTAAATTGTAATCTCTCTCTCTCTCTCTCTCTCTCTCAGCCCTCTTAAATTAATTTTGCTTTTTGCAGAAATGTGTCCTTAAAGGAAATTTTTATGATCTAAGGGTTAGGTTTTTATCATAAATGAATTCCGTGTTGAAGAGATTTGCATGGCTTCTGTAACGGGCATTCATTCAAAGTGCACTCTTTTACTCCCCATTGGCCATATACCCATAATGCAATTCCAAACAGAATCTCTTTCTTTTTTCTACTTCTTTTTGCTGCTCTGTGTTTCTAAGATTTCCTCACTCTAAAAGTGGGTAAGAACAAGTTGGGTCTGTAGTCTGTACCAACTCCATCAAAACTCAACTCAATGAAGCTTGCAACACTTAACGTTCTGCTTTCAGGGTTCATTAAATCATACCCCATTATTATACCTCTGCATGGTGAATGATGGGAGGAATACCCTATACATCATTATGGTAAATTACCCCGAAACCCTAATTCTTAACAGCACACGTGAATGAGCTTAGGCTGGTGGTTAGTTGTATTATTAAGTGTTGCAAATCTCCTTGTTGGATTGAGTGGTAAAGGAACAAAGCTTTCATGTGGCTGAGGGAAGACATACTAGGATTTTTCCTCCCGTGACTAGTTATGATGGATCTGGTTTTGTCTGCCTGAACCAACCTGCCTGTAACCTCCTTACATGGAGAAGAAGTTTCTTAGTTTATCCCAAAAAGAAATGGAAAACAGAAACCCTAAGAGGAGAAGAAGATAAAAATAATGGCATTAACAGGTTTATAGGCAGACAGTCCCTCCAGTTTCAGACACATTGGCCAGACGACATGGCCAATCCATGACCTTCCATATTGGCCGTGGATTAGTCCACACTTAGTCCACATCAGTTCTGTCATCTCTGCCAAGCCATTCTCCAATTGATATGCGAATTTCAAATTCTAACTGACATTATTTATTTGCTAAAACCACTCCAGCAATAAGGACGTGTAGCCAAGCAAGATTATCCATGGGATAATGGGATAAAAGGATGTTCTGGGTAGGGTGAACATTATTCAGTCAAAATCTAATCGAAAATTCGGTTTTGAGTATTTTGATTTTCGTTTTAGTTTTCAGAATTGAAAATTCAATTAACCAATGTTATTATTATGTATAATATATTATAATGAAATTCAATCGAATCAAAATTTTTTGTTCAAAATAACCAATAAAGAAATGGGCAAATTTCATTCTCTCCTCTCAACTCTGTCTATAATTACAACTTCCAAGTTCTCCCCTGTACGTTAACAATTTATATTTATTCCCGACAAACTGAAGTTTGTTTCCAACATGTCCCTCATATAAGACAAAACCCTTCAGAGCTTATATTAGCCCCAAAAACGGAGCCAGTAAAACAAGTTAAACTTTTGATGATCAGATGTCATTTTTACCCCTTAAATATATCTACCATCTATATCTATAACCTATATAAAATGAGAAAGCTTCGTATAGTCCTATCCCAACTTTGGTCGATGTTCAAGGTTTTACATTCCCAAAATGCCCTTGTATGCAATTTCCTATTCCACCCTTATCCTTTGCTATTTCACGTCCCAACTTTCTTATGTTATGTAATTTCCCATTTTATCATTATCTGCTATAATAAAGACAAAAGTGGATGATCGGTATATGTTTCCAAACATCATCATATAAGCCTTTTTTACCAACCAAGGATTGGTTACATGAATTTTGTTTTTCCTTTAGTGACATATCCATTATTAAATTATGGGCATTTAAATAAATTTTTTAGTACTTTCACTCAAGTCCTTTTCAGTCTGTCTTTAGACAGTCTAGACTTTGGATTTGGCTTTACATTGTTTTGGGCTCAGGTTTCAGGTCGGGTCTATTTAAATTTTAGTAAAAGTTAAACCCGGCCCTGACGTATGAATAGGTCTGTCTGCCTCTGGCTCTTCTARTTCCTTCAACATGTAATTGATCATTTTTCTAATAGGTAATATAAATGATCTTCTATGCACATGACCAAAAATCTTAATCTACTTTCATTTATTGTCTATTGGAACTATTCCTAGGTTCTTTTAAATGACTTTGTTTCTAATACTCTTCTTACTAATTTTATTATTCAAGCAAGTCAAACCATCTAAGCATTTACATTTCTGTCACACACTTTTCAAACATGTTACTTCTTAAATACACAACACTCAACCCTTATTAACTGTTTTATATAATATTATAATTATCCTTTTGGCCATAGTGGTATTCATAAGACTCTGGATGCACCCCTCCATTTTTTTTCCTACTCTAATTTTATGGGCGACATCCTCCTAAATCTCTCCTTTGTTGTTAATTATTGAACTAAAGACGCTACCTTAAGTTATTTCTTGATTTCCAGTCCTAAATGTACCTTGAATTGTACTCCTTTATTACTAAATTTACATTGGTTATATAAATACAAATCTGTACGATGCAAATACATACAAAGAACAAGGTTTTGCAGTCTACAAATATTTAATCCCTTCGTAACTGAGCCTAAAGCTCTTATTAATTGATTTAAACATTACTTCTTGTCCTAATATATCTATTTGTGAATTTATGAAACTGAAAAAGAAAAAAATAATATAAATATTAAAAACTTTGGATGTGCAATTTTTGCTTTACCCGAAGTATGAATACTAAGAACCATTTAGGGGTCTACAGAAATCAGGATTTACAATTATTATCATCTTGTCTAGCACAGAACCGTGTTAATGTTTTAAAAACTGACCCGGAATTGGAACTGTTCTAGCCACCAGTTTCTGGATTAATGGTTCAACCATTCGGTTTGAATAGATGGCCAGTTCTGACAAAAAAATTAAAAAATAAAAAAACCATTGAACAGGCAGACAGTTCGACCACCCAGGTCAAGGGTTGTTGACCAATTCAATGATTTCTGACCAGGAACTGGGTTTGGRGTAAAACARAACCAATTTCCTAGACGGTTCCCGGGCTGAACGATCTGACCATCCAGGTCAACAGCGGTTCAAAACCATTGACGGCTCTATTGAAGATTAATCAGGCTGTGGTTCAAGTTTTATGACCTCAATCGTGAGGATCATACAGCATATTGGAGATGCTACTATTGCAAGCATGAAGCATCTATTATTTAAAGTGTTAATCACTTGTCATGGTCATGGGAAACAGTGCACACTGTGAATTTGAAAATTCAGTAGAGAGGCGCCTTGCCCAAGTCAGGTACTGTTTCAACTTTCAAACCCGAATAAGTTACTAAAATTCTTCCAATGGTAATACACGTTATTTTCTTGCAAAATAACATTTGTAAAAAAATAGATAAACATTTCTCAACTTTCTGAAAATTGAAGCTATGAGCTTCAAAGGAAGATGTTTTGAAGCTAAGGTTTTCATTGAACCAATTCATTTATTACAAACAGTTGGAGGAGCCTGAATTTCATGGAGGAAAGAAAACAACAACGTTGCCACCACTTCAGAATCAAAAGATCAGGGCTCTCATTTGGCTTGTGGATGGGTTGCAATGTAGTCAATGAGATGAGCTGTCGTTGAGAATTTGTTCGCTTCACTGTCTGGGATATCTATAGCAAATTCTTCTTCCACTGCAATAATTACTTCCACGTTATCTAGCATATCCAATTGCATGTCGTCCCTGAAATTTGCCGTTGGGCTCACCTGTCAAAGACCAATTTAGCATGATTTTCACTCAATTGTGTAACACAAACACAGACAAGATGAATATGATTGAAGATAAGAGAACGTATAGGTAAACAAGACTCCCAGGATAGTCAAAACCATGAAGGGGCCACAACAGGCATCCAATGTCAAACTACGATSAATCCATCTAATCAATTTATTGGTATCCAATGTATGGTTTTGGAACTTCACAACTGGAAGTGGCCTATGACCTTATTATCCTCAAAAAWTATAAAAAGAAAACAACAGTAAGACAAAATATGTAACCTTCGTGTGTGCACACCTATACATTGCCTAGATGGCAAGCTGACCTCCTAGACAAACAAAAATAACAAAGGAAGATACCTTGCTGTAATTTAGTCTCTAACAGAGTGCGCCCCAAAAACACCCCAGATGCACATCTCAGCATGCATTGGGAACATCTCAGTGTGCGTGCACATCTATGCACCTATACCTCCTGACAATTATATATCAAACCCATATACAAGCAGTGTATGAAACTTGTGGAAAGAAAAGGAGAAAAAGAACCAATAATTTAGTCTCTAACAAATAGAAATGTTGAGGAAAACAACTTTATTCTATTGTAATGATATGATAATTGCAATGCCTTGTAACTGTGTAATAGAAATTTAATTCTGTCCTATAGTAGATCTTTGTGGACTTACCTTTGTAAAAGCATCTGAAGATTCATAGCTTTTAATGCAATACTGAACAGAGCAGACCGATAGAACCGTATTCACATAGCCAACCCCGTCTGGTTGGGAAAAGGTAGTGGTTGAGTTGAGTATGTGTTTAAAGAAATACTCAAGTGGGACAACCATTATTGCAGTTTACATACACCCAAGACTAAGAGATAAAAGACAGACATGAAAACCAAACTGATAAAGGAATCCTAGATACAACTCCTCAAAATCTAGAACATGTATATGAATGAGTATCCCTTCCAACTCTTCAAAATCTAGTATCCCATCCAATATTATATTCAAATAATTCCATCTTTTCATTTTTTTAGTTACTTTTTTGTATCTGATTTAGTTTTTTTGGTAAGATAATCAGTTTTAATTATTGTTTTAGATACTTATTATCTTCTTTTTTTCATATCTTATCAAATTCAATGGAACTTCTACTATGTATCAAGTTCCTTGTACAAAATTTTGTTCAAATATAACTCATAAAAAATTTGTTAAAATATACCATCTATACATCTTAGTTTATAAATGTAGGTTGTTGGTAGTTAAAGAGAAAAAAAATTGCAGTTTTGAAGTATCAAAGCAGTATCTGGTATTGCTATTAGTATTATATTGTGTAGTAGAGAAAAGTATTATTGTAATATATTCAAAAAAGAGAGGGTGAGCCACTCTCATAAGCATGTACAAGAGGGTCTTTACAAGTATATCATGAAACCCCCACCCCATCTATACATTTAGCTACAGAAGTATAAAAAATGATGGAATTCCATCAACTCAAGAAGCTATATATAGACACATCAGGAGAAGGCTATCAAAATCCTCACCCATCGGACCAACACCCATTCAATCTTACTCATCACAACTTCAGGTGGAAAAGCCTTGACTTCAAATACTTGGCTGTTCCTTTCTTTCCACACACCCCAACAAAGGGCCAAAAGGAGTAACTTCCAAAGGGTCCTTTGACTGAGAAGCCTTTCACAGGTCAAGAGGCTAGGAGAGTACAAAATGAAAATGTGCCTAGCACCCCTCAATGTCAAGGCAAGAACTTTCTACCTAACTCCATAGTTCTCCACTCCTTGGGTTATTAACACCCCAGAGCAACTGGTTTCTGCTTACTCCCTTCCTAGCCATGGTCAGTGCACCTGCCATGCCTAGCACCCCTCTGTCCATGTATCTGGTACTTTAGTTGTGTACACCAAAAAGAAAGAAGCATATTTAGTATATTAAGAGGTATAGAAATGAAGGCAGAGCAAGGTCCAGAGAAGCACGCTTTCCCTGGCTTAACATATAACATATTTCTAAACACTCGTCATTCTTATTCACAAAAATCTAGGTGAGAAATACAGATTTAAAAAAGAACCATATGAAGGATTCGATTACTGTTTCAAAGGTAATATATGATTGGAGAAAAGAAAGATAGTGTCATATACTTCAGTTTACATAATGCTGTAAGCCCATTATTGTGAAAGCATAAAACTAGGTTCAGCCTGGAAACTAGTTTGCCAAGGAGATATTGCTTCCAAGTTCAGGTAAGTTTATACAAGCTAAATAAGCTCAAGCAAACCACTTTCCTCCATAGCCTAAAATCTGGTGTTCACATCTGAAGTTGCAAAATTCAAAATGATATCACTAAGACAAAAAATCAGCACAAAAGATTCAAGCATGTAAATACCATTTTCATCATTTCAAACCAACAACAATATGTTTCTGTTCAAACACAAAAAGAAAAAGAAAAAGAAATACAAGATTCTACCCCCACCCCCTTGCCCTTTATTGGTATAAATGCATCACAGACCACACCACTTGGAAATATTGTGTCAGTCCCACTTCTCTCAAACAAAATTACAGAATCCAGATGTTAGTTTATGATGCACTTGTACCTGATACAAAAAGAACTTCTATCATTAATTTCTCAAGAAATTAATACCATATATCCTGTGGGAGAAACACCCAAAGACAACAACAATCATGTAAAAAATTGAGGTAAGACATTGGTTCCCTTCCAGGAGTTGGTCACAACATCATTTAGGACATTATGTGAATTAAATAAAATAGTTAATTTGCTGCTGCTACGATGAAAGCTATAATTTTAGTTCAGTAATCTATAACTAAGTAAAGAAAATGCTAGAGTAGGACAAATAAGAGACCTCAAAAGTAATGAAAAGAACCACTTAAGCCTTTGGCTTAGTAGCCAATTCCGGAATTCAGAAATTGCAACAAGGATCAATTATCATAATTCCATAGGACACAGACAAGTTTTACAAGCAAAACAATAACACCGTTATCACTTATCAGACCTGATATAAATTGGCTCTTAGGCACCCAATTACCAGGAATTCAATTTTTTTCCTTTGACATGTATACAAGTACATTTGCATTTGGAAACTTGGAATAATAATAAAATGTGGTATTGGAGATATAAAAGGGAAGAAAGTATCCTCTAAATAACGTCTTCCTTAACAGTCACTAAAACCATAACTCCCATTGCACACATCATTTCCAATTTTCGGAACACCTAATTATAACTCTTGTTATAAATCCTTACTACATACTTGATTTAGGCACTCCATTCAAATTTAAATCTCTAAAGTCTGTAAAAGAGGCCTGATATTGACTTACCACCACCAAGATTTTAAAAGGCTAAAGATGCAATTGAGGCATAAGCCTCAAAAATTAAAAAAAAAAAAAAGATCAATTAGAATTTATAAATGATAAAAGGAGCATAATAATAAACCATGGTAAATAATAAAAGGTGTAAGCATCCATAAAATAAAAGTCTATAAGAAATAAGTTCCATACTTTTAGTATTCAGCAAAATAATAACTAACCAACTAACAACCCTAAACCTTTCACTAATGGGAACATTTGATGAATCATCCATAATAATTGATACTAGATTTCTGGTTGTCCAACAGTTTAGAAGAAAGGAAATAACTAAATTGATTTAATCTATGCCAAAAAGAAAAACCAATAAAAAGAACAAATGTCCATTAGGAAGAGAAATGAGAGGCAAAATAGGGTAGATGGTATTTTCTTGTTGAGAAAATAGAGAAAAATAACAAACCTAAGATGCTAGACTTTTGGTCACCCAAAAGTGTAGAATAATTAGGAAAAAAAAGCCACTTGGTTTAATTGAGAATGAAGAGAGAACGGTAAAGGTTCTTTTTTTCCCTTATTGCACTCAACTCTTCTTCTAAAATCCTAAAAGATACTTAGAATTCTATTTACCCTATTGGCTTTTCATTTTGCTCTTTTTATTTGGCCCATAATTACTAAAGTGCCCCTCCCGCTTGTTTTTTTTTTAACTTAATAAAAACTTAAAATATTGTTTTTGTATTAAATTACTCAATTGCTGCTCTTGAGGCTTACACTTCACGCCTTAATGTTTGAGGCTTAACCTCTTTCTAACAAAGGTCTAAGCCTCAAATCAAAGTTATTAGGCTTAAGCCTTGAGGCAAAATCTGTGCACCTCACGTCAAGGCTTAAGCCTTTTAAAACCATGATTACCACCACTCCAAAAGCTCATATCTGGCTCCCATTTTTAGATGTGGGAGCCTGACTACATCAAACTCTTATGGACCCCTCAATTAAACTCCAGTAATTATCTTTCTTTCACAGGTTAAAAGTTATTCAGTCTGGTTCTACATCACAAACTTGATCTTAAACAATGACAAAAACCTGCACATCTTAAACTACATCCATTACCTTAAAACCCTGCCTCAACAACCAGAGTCCAAGAGGTTATTCCTATTGTTTTTACATAAACACTCATACATAATCATCATCTCTTTAATCTAGTTTTTGTTCACCCTGGTTAAACTTTAAGAGGACAACCTCTAGTCTTCTCTTACAGTCGGTTTAAGTCCATCCAGCACATATGTTTCCCATGACAATCCAGCATAGTTGGGAGTGTTGGAAACTGCTGAATATAAGCAGCAATACATCAAAGTCAACACTCAATTAGTCAGTGTTGCATTGCTAGAACTTTTCTCTAATTTCTAGTTGAGTTCTAATTCTAGAGGAGAAAGAATTTAGCAGCAGCAAAGTAAAACTAGAGAGATCTAGGGAGAAGCAAAGCTGCCTTGAAGGCAAAATTTGCACTTTGCAGCTGAATGATTCATTTATTATCCATCTAAAATTTCCAGGAAAGGCTGGTGCAGGGGCAGGGCATTCAGAATCTCAGATTCATCTAAGGTTGCCTTCTTTGTTTTATACACCTTGTTCTGTATTCATATAATCATCTGAATACAACATGGCTATATTGCATATCAGTTTTTCTTTTCTTTGGTA